ACAGTGTGAGACTCAAAAGGGTGTCACGCTCTCTTTTTTTTGAGACTCAAAAAAAAAAAAAAAAGAAAGAGAGCGATATCCTTTTGTCTCTGCTCCTAAGAAAAACTCCTTTTGTTTCTGTTTTTTTGTTATTGTTTTTGTTTTTTTTGAGACGGAGTTTCGCTCTTGTTACCCAGGCTGGAGTGCAATGGCGCGATCTCGGCTCACCGCAACCTCCGCCTCCTGGGTTCAGGCAATTCTCCTGCCTCAGCCTCCTGAGTAGCTGGGATTACAGGCACGCGCCACCATGCCCAGCTAATTTTTTGTATTTTTAGTAGAGACGGGGTTTCACCATGTTGACCAAGATGGTCTCGATCTCTTGACCTCGTGATTCACCCGCCTCGGCCTCCCAAAGTGCTGGGATTACAGGCTTGAGCCACCGCTCCCGGCCCACAAACTTCTAAATATCAAACCATCTTTGCATTCTGGAATAAATCCTACTTGGTCCTAACGTATTATTCTTTTAAACTCTTGGACTTGATTTAACAGTATGTTATTTTTTCTTTCTTTACTTATTATTATTATTATTATTTATTTTTTTTTTTTGAGACAGAGTTTCGCTCTTGTTACCCAGGCTGGAGTGCAATGGTGCGATCTCGGCTCACCGCAACCTCCGCCTCCTGGGTTCAGGCAATTTTCCTGCCTCAGCCTCCTGAGTAGCTGGGATTACAGGCACGTGCCACCATGCCCAGCTAATTTTTTTTGTATTTTTAGTAGAGACGGGGTTTCACCATGTTGACCAGGATGGTCTCGATCTCTTGACCTCGTGATCCACCGCGCCCGGCCTTCTTTACTTATTATTATTATTATTTTTTTAGAGACAGGATCTCAGTCTGTTGCTAAGGCTGGAGATCCTCCTACTTGAGTCTCCTGAGTAGCTAGGACTCCTGATGCATGTCACCACACCCACCTAATTTTTCATTTTTTTTTTATAGAAACACAGTCTCACTACATTGCCCAGGCTGATCTCAAGCTCCTGGCCTTACGCAATTCTCTCACCTTGGCCTCCCAAAGCACACCGAGATTACAGTCATGAGCCACTGTGCCTGGCCCCCAGTATGTTATTTTATAAGACTTTTTCATCTATGTATGTTAAGTGCCATTGGTCCATTCTGGTACCTATTAGATTCTGGTATCAGGGTTCTTGTTAACTTTGTAAAAAGAAGTGGGGGCTTTCACATTTCTTGCCTCATATTCTGGAGCAGTTTGAGTAGCGTAAGTATTGTTTCTGGTCCTGGATGTTACAGTCGGACTAATACATAGCTCTTCCTGAACTCGGCACCCTTTAGTGGGGGAGAGGTGCAGAGATCAGTTCTTTGACAATGCCTAGAGTTTTTTTCACAGTGATTTGGGATTTCAAATTCTCCTTGGATTTTTCTTTAAAGAAAAATGTCAATGTGTCTTTAGTTACTGTTTCAGAACAGATCTGTGTACCAGGGTGGAAGCCGGCCTTCCCACCACAGAAGATACCTCCCCAACCCTGCCGAGCACCCACGGCCTCTCTCCCTAGTCCGCCCCTTCCGGGAGCCCCTGGCATGTCAGGCAGCTAAAAGCTGCCAGTTTAAGGCCAGTGGCTGGTTGGTTTGGTTTGAGACACAGTCTCGCTCTGTCCCCCAGGCTGAGGTGCACGATCTCGGCTCACCACAACTTCCACCTCCCAGGTTCGAGCAATTCTCCTGCTTCAGTCTCTCAAGTAGCTGGGACTACATGTGCCCGCTACCACGCCCAGCTGATTTTTTTATTCTCAGTAGAGATGGGGTTTCACCATATTGGCCAGGCTGGTCTTGAGCTCCTGACCTTGTGATCCGCCTGCCTCGGCCTCCCAGAGTGCTGGGATTACAGGCGTGACCCACTGCGCCCGGCCAAAGGCCAGTGGTTTTATGAACACCATCCTATTTAATCCAAGTGTGAGAACAGTAAAACAGCCCCTGCTTTACTGATAGGGAAACTTATTCTCCAGTGGATTAACCCGCTTACCCGTGCTGCTAGTGAGATGTAGGCAGGGCTCCAACCTCAGCCTGACTTCATGCTCCTGCTGCAGTCATCCCACAGAACTTCGGAGGTATAGGTCAACCCCAGAAACACTCTAACATCACACCCTAACACGTGGGGCAGGGTCAAGGTCAAGTAGGAAATGTTAGTTGGAAGCACAATGGATATGTGAAAGTGCCAGATGCATGAATTATGAAAGAAGTTGCATGAATTTTGAAACAAGTGGTCATTCCTTATTTGGGAATGGTGTTAAAAAAAAAAAAAAAAAAAAGACAGCACTTTGGGAGGCCGAGGCAGGTGGATCACGAGGTCAAGAGATCGAGACCATCCCGGTCAACATAGTGAAACCCCGTCTCTACTAAAAATACAAAAAATTAGCTGGGCATGGTGGCACGTGCCTGTAATCCCAGCTTCTCAGGTGGCTGAGGCAGGAGAATTGCCTGAGCCCAGGAGGCGGAGGTTGCGGTGAGCCGAGATCGCGCCATTGCACTCCAGCCTGGGTAACAAGAGGGAAACTCCGTCTCAAAAAAAAATTTTTAAAAAGAGTACTTTTTCTCTACACAAGAAACAGGAGCAAAGAAAGTCCTCAGTGCCCTCTTGTGGAGAGTCACAGCTTGAGCCCACCACCCTGGCATTTTCCGAGCCGCCTCCCACCCAAAGTACCAGTTTTGAGGTTTTCCCTCCAGCTCTGCCCGCAAATCATGGCACATCTGTGTGAGTTTAGGCTCCTTTACGGGGACGCGCGACTGGCAAAGTGCGCGTGTTACAGTTCATTGGCCCTGGACAGGCTCTGAGCCAGGGAAGGGTATGCTGACTGGGGCTTGACTTGCAGGGAGGAGCCAAGTGGCTGGAGTCCAGGGGTTCTGGGTTCAAGTCCTGTCCTCACTGCTCATTGGCTGTGTAGGATGGGGCAGACATTTGATTCTTGAGCCTCAGTTTTCCCACCTGAAAATGGGAGACTAATATCTACCCCTCAGGGCGATCTGGGGATTAAAACGAGTAAAGCAGTCCACACAGAGGGTCAGTCCAGGGCCGGCACAGAGGAAGCCCTTGCCGAACCGTAGCTGGCGTTATCATCTGTGTGAGCTGGTAGGTAGTCACGTGCCTTGCTAAGGACAGCTAGGTGCAGGACCACAAGAATTGGCAGAATCTAAGGGAGAGTTGGGTGGCTGTGCTGAATGGCTTGCTAAAGGTGGACCTGGGGTGTGTCACTGGGTCGGGTCACTTAAAAAGAGGCCTGGGCTGGCCCGGCACGGTGGCTCAAGCCTGTAATCCCAGCACTTTTGGAGGCCGAGGCGGGCGGATCACGAGGTCAGGAGATGAAGACCATGGTGAAACCCCGTCTCTACTAAAAAATACAAAAATGAGCTGGGCGTGGTGGCACACACCTGTGGTCCCAGCTGCTCGGGAGCCTGAGGCAGGAGAATTGCTTGAACCCGGGAAGTGGAGGTTGCAGTGAGCCGAGATCGCGCCACTGCACTCCAGCCTGGTGCCTGGGCTGATCTGGCGTTGTGGGTGGCAGGCAGGCCCAAGTCCAGGAGATACGGGATCTTGCCTAATCCATTCACCAGCAGCCTAGGATTTCACCTCCGGCAGGTCACCTACCTCGGCCCCCAGTCAGTGCCCCTTACAGTGTCCCACCCCTGGCAGCACTTAATGAACACAAGTTTTGTTTTTTGAGGTAGGGTCTTGCTCTGTTGCCCAGGCTGGAGTACAGTGGGGCAATCATAGCTCACTGTAGCCTCCAACTCCTGGGCTCCAGTGATCCTTCAGCCTCAGCCTCCCAAGAAGCTAGGACTGAGCCACCATATCCGGCTAATTTATTTTCATTTTTGTAGAGACAGGGTCTTGCTGTGTTGCCTAGATGGGTCTCAAACTCTGGGCCTCAAGTGGTCCCCCACCTGACCCTCCCCTGCCCTGGGATTATAGGCACAGGCTACCACAGCCAGCTCACAAGTTCATCTGCATATAGTTTGTACCTGTCTTGGGACGGCAGACTGTTCTCCGGAATGACAGGGACCTGGAGAAGGGGACAGGACAAAGAAAGACTGAAGAATGGGCAGGGGGCAGGGAGGAAGGGGCCTTCAAAGTGAGACGGTGCCAGGATGCCTCCCACCTTCGAGGGTCCATGCAGCACGCTGACGTGGGCTTGCTTTTCTGGAGCATGGGACAGGAGCTAGGGACCTGACCACCAGTGAAGAGGGAGGGCCAGGCCCAGCAGGGTAACGGGCTGGGTCTCAACGGCCCCCAGCTAGAGAGGTTAGGGGTGGCCCATTCACAGGGCCTTCCTGAGAGTGTGAGGGCCACCGAGAGCTCTCCCAGAGAGACCTAACCCTCCGGGCCTAAGTTGGGGGCCATCAGGCCACGCAGTGGGCTCAGGTTTTGATGGACCCTCAGGAGTGGCAGGAGGAAGAGTGACTAAGAGTTTCTGCTTGGATTTCCCGGCTTGGGCTCCACCCCCGGCCCTTGATGCTCCCCAGTTATGTGGCCTTAGGCAAATCACTCTGAACCTCTTCAGCCCTCCGTTTGCAGAGCAGTAAACTGGAGTCAGGATGCATCTGTCTGCAGAGTGATGCAGAGGAGGATTAAATGAGGTGATGTGTTGAGTGCTTAGCACAGTACCCCCACCACAGAAAACCCTTATGAGAGCCGAAAGGGGAAAAAATTTCAGACTTGGCTGCAGGCCCAAGGCGTGAGGGATGGGGTGATGGTGGTGGTGCTGATGCGGGGGCTGGAGTGGAAATGGGGAGGCCTGGACTCACCTCCCTCCCAACCCCACACCCGGCCTGGCAGGACTCACCTCCCTCCCAACCCCACACCCTGGCGGCAGAGCTGAGAGCCTCCAGCTGGCCCCTCACCTGGTCCTGGCTGAGGAGAGTGTGCAGAGGCAGAAGCCTAGGGGGCAGCATCAGGCCGCGGGGACCCAGGGACGGCGCCCCTCCAGTACTTTTCCTCTGTTCTTCTCCAAGGCTGCATTCGCGATTCTACGAGCTGGCCCCCAACCTCGTCCCAATGGACTACAGGAAGAGTCCCGTTGTCCACGTGCCCATGAGTCTCATCATCCAGATGCCAGAGCTGCGGGTACGCGCGGGGCCTTGTTGCTGGCGGGCAGGGGGTCTGCACTGCGGGCAGGGGGTCTGCGCCGCCCCCAGACTATCAGCAGAGGCCCCCAGGTCTGGGCTGAACCCAGCTCCACCCTTTGTGTCTACGTGGCTCTGAGCGGATCATAGAACCTCTCTGTGCCTCAGTTTCCTCATCTGCACTCTGAATAAATAAGCTGTGTGGGCTCCGGAGGGGTGCTGGACGTCGGTGGCCATTCGTCTGCTTCTCCCTTTGTCAAGTGGCCCCAAGCCTGCTGCACTTGGCAGGCCTGCATCTGCTTCGTTAGGTGGTGTTTCTGCCTCCCCTGTGGCTGGCCGTGGCTTCTCACTGATGTCAGCATGGTGGTCGTCCATAACATCGCTTCTCAATTCAGAGTCGAGTCAGGATTCTGCTTTTCGAGCAAGCTCCCAGGAGAGACCGATGCTCCTGGTCCTCAGACCATGTATATTTGAATGTTTCATTTCAGGAGTTCCTTATCCACAATATGTAAAGTGCACTCCACATTGAGAAGGCATTTGGGGCACAACTCCCCGTTACAGGGGGACTTCGTTAGTAGCCCCTTGCCAGGCCTGGGATGTGTGGCTTGAAGGTGGGATCAGAGTGCCATATGACACCCACTTAGGGCCTGCGCTCTGGTTGGGACTCCAGTCCTGAGAGACAGTGGGCCCCAGGCTCGGCCATGGACGGGCACCCCGCCTGGCCCAGCGGGGGCTCGAGAGCAGAGGGTTGCTGGAGCGGGTGAGGCAGTCATGGGTGGGACCCAAGTGGTCTGTCTCTGAGCCTACTGCACCGGCCTGAGCTGGGCACAGAATGGGGCTGGCCACGTGCTAGCTTAGGTGGGATGGGAGGGCTCTGGACGAGTGATCTGGGGATCAGCGGAAGGTGTCCGTGTACAGCGCCCCGGGGGAGGCGGCGTCCCCTGTGGTCTGAGAGGATTCACAGGAACAGAACGACGGCAGGCCCGGGCCTGAGCTGGCTCTGTGACGCCCGCTGCTCGTCTGGCCCAGTGATCTGACCCTGCATTCGCCTCCCACGATCGGGGCCTGAGCCGAGGTCCGCCAGGGCCCTGTGCTGTCGTCTTCTTCTGTGGACGCGCCCTGCACGTCCACGCAGAGCCTGTGTGTGCTCTCCTGGGTAACGGGAGGAAGCCATGCCTCTGGTGAGAACACATTGGCTGGGCTCAGCATTTTTTTTTTTTTGGAGAGGGGGTCTTGCTCTGTCACCCAGGCTGGAGTGCAGCGGGACAATTATGGCCCACTGAAGCCTCGAACTCCTGGGCTCAAGTAGTTCCCTCACCTCGGCCTCCCAAATAGCTGGGACTACAGGCGTGCACCACCGTCCCTGGCTGTGCCCATCTTGGTGATGTGACATGACCCGTGAGGATGCTTCCCGAGCTCTGACACGTGCCGAGCCTGGTACAAACACCTTACGTACTTTAGCTCATTCAGTCCGCTCACGAGTCACTTAAGTAGGTGCTATTACGATTCCCTTTTTACAGATGAGGAAACCGAGGCTCAGAGGGATCCCGTCCGTCCTCCAGGGTCACGCAGACGGTTGGCAGTCCGGCTGCCGGGCCCTCCCACCTACCCTGCACCCACAGTGATTGCTGTGTGTGTCGTGCGTTTTCTTCAGGAGAATCCCTTCAAAGAAAGGATTGTGGAGACGTTCTCCGAGGATGGCGAGGGGAATCTGACCTTCAACGACTTTGTGGACATGTTTTCTGTGCTCTGCGAGTCGGCCCCCCGAGAGCTCAAGGCAAACTATGCCTTCAAGATCTACGGTAACCAGGGCTGGAGGAGGGGGCCCTGAATGTGAGGGGGGCAGTATTTGGGGCCCTGGGGCGGTCTGATGGCTGCTGGCTCCTGCCCTGGGGACACCAAGGACAGTGAGACTGATCTGTCCTCTGAAGAGTGCCTGTCCAGTGGGCTGGCCCAGCGAGACATCAGTGCCTGAGAGACACCTGCGGGGGGTCCTGAGAGCACAGGAGGGAGGCCCTCGCCCACCCCGGGTTGGGTGGTGAGTGTGACGGGGGTCGCCGGCGTGACCCGTAGGCAGAGACAGCAGAGGCTCGGACTGGAGGGGCGGGGCTGGCAGGCCTGGCAGAGGGCACAGCCCGTGCAGACGCAGGGAAGCGCCGAGCTTGGTAAGGAGGTGGAGGAGCTTGGAAGGTGGTGGGGTGGGGGCGGCGTGAGTCCGGGGAGGTAATTTGGGGCGAGGCTGTGAGAGCCAGCCAAGGAGTTTGGACCTAGTACTCCCGACACCAGGGCCACTGTGGGGTTTCCCGTGGGGAAGTGTAGCTCTGTTTTCTAGAAAGATCACTCAGCAGCTTTGAGGTGTAACATGGAGGAGCTGGAGAGGCTGCCTTGGCCACGGTGGTGAGGTCTGGCCTGCAGGGGGGCCTCTGGAGCCCCAGAACGCTGCCAGAAGCAGGGCCACTGGGTCACACCGCCCAGCCCTGCCCGTGGGCCTGCTGTCTCACCAGCCACCAGGGGGCAGCAGGGACTTACGAGCCAAGGACTGGGCGCTTCTCCGACAGCCACCGGGAGCAAACGTCACACCCACGACCTCACGTTGGGGGACGCAGTTGAGATGGCTCAGGCTCACGGAGGGGCCGGGACCCAACCCGGACCCAAAGAGTCAAGGTCAAACCACCTGTCCTCAGCACCTTTGATCAGACGCCGCACCCCAAGGCAGCAGGGCCTACGAGGGGCTGATGATTCCCTTTCTAGTTGTCGTGTTGATTTCGGAGGACGCTGGTTTCTGTCTGTACACCCACATTTTGCTTGCATGTCAGAAAGAAAATGCCTGCCAGTCTACCCTCCACAAACTATGCCCACGTGGCTCATATAAAAAGCTTCCAGATTCCACCCGACATGGGCCCAGTCTCGGACCCCACAGCGTTGCTCCTGGGAAGGACTGCTGTCTGCCCAAGACGGGGGTGCAGGTCGCACGGCCCAGCGGGCACAGGAACATGGAAGAACCGTGGCTCCCTTGCCGCCCTAGGCTGGGGGTGGAGTGGGGAAAGGCAGCCAGGGTGATTCTGGTGCTGGGGCGGCCTGGGGCCTCATTAGCAACTAGAATCATCTCACTTCTGGCCTCAGTTTACTCCTATTAAATGGCCACAGGAATCCAGCCAGCCAGTGAATCTTTGCAGAGATTGCTGTGTCCCATGTCAAGGGCAAAGATGAATCCTACCTGCCACTGCCCTGGAGTTGTGCACAGGCCTGTGCAGAGACAGGGTAGAGTCACCCGTAAGAGCTTGGGCTCTAGGGTCCAACGATGACCAGGGACGTGACCTCAGGCAGGTGCTTCTCCTTTTCACCTCCCTGTTTCCTCATGTGTAGAGTGGGGATTCAATTGTGCCTGTCTCATAGGTTTGCTCTGAAAGTTAAATGAGAAAGAGCGTATCCTACTCACACCGTGGGTTTTCATCGCCACCGTTCATGTCAGTTTGCCCAGTGGGCAGGAGAAGCTCATTTGCGGGGGAGAGGACCCTTATTGCTAGAAAGCTCTGCCACTGGGAGGTGAGGTGTGAGCCAAAATTTAAAGGATGACCAGGAGTTTGCCAGGGAGGGCACCCCAGGAAGAAGAAACAGCCCGTGTGCAGATCTGGTAGTTGGCTGAAAACGGTAAGAGAGAGTTAGAGTTCACTTTGACGCGGCCACACGTGGCTTGGTCCTCTGAACCGTTCTGGGGTTCTTTGAGCAGTAGTGTTGCCTTTTGCTGGGTAGCATCAAACCATGTTCCCTGCTCTGTGTGCACAAAGGCCAGGCATGGGCCCTCTCTAAGGGCCTTTCGATTCTGAGTCTTCTGAGCCATCGTGGCTCCTGGCCACACACCACTGAGGCAGTGTGACGCAGCTGAGAACACCTGGGTCTCAGACTCACACAGGCCCCAATCAGAATCCCTGCTCCATCTCCATGTGGCTCTCTGACCTTGATTCAATCACATGGCCTTCCTGTGCCCTGGTTTCCTTAGCTCTGGAAGTCTAAGGGGGCACAGGGTCTGCTGTGGGCTAAGGCCAGGAAGGGCTATCTGGCCTACAGCGGAAGTCCTCAGGAAACCTCAGATTGGGACTTTTGACCTGTTTCAGGATGTGGCTGGACAGTTAGTCACCGTTGGGTTGTTGAGGTGGTAGATGTAGGTGTTTAAGCTATGCCTGGTGGGTGAGCCCTGTTGGGGGCAGGAATCCAGCATCCCAAGAGTGTGCATGGAGATGCTCTGGGGACATCAGAAGCTGGTGGAGGTAGTGTGTGACCAGCGGGGAGGAAGAGCTATGGTGCAGGGGTCCCCGGGTGCACCCAACCCGGGCTCAAACGTGTCCAACCCCCACCCAGCAGACTTCAACACTGACAACTTCATCTGCAAGGAGGATCTGGAGCTGACGCTGGCCCGGCTCACAAAGTCGGAGCTGGATGAGGACGAGGTGGTGCTTGTGTGCGACAAGGTCATTGAGGAGGCTGACCTGGACGGTGACGGCAAGCTGGGCTTCGCTGACTTCGAGGACATGATCGCCAAGGCCCCTGACTTCCTCAGGTGCTGCGCCCGGAGCCGGGCAGGGCAGGGCAGGGCAGGGCAGGGCAGGGCAGGGCGCCGGGGCTGCAGCCCCTGTCACTTGCTGTTTGTGAACGTGGTATGTGGCCAGGGAGCAGGAGGCCACAGTCGGGGCCCCCTTGCCCCTGATGTGTGACGGGGCCTTGTTCCCTGGAGGGCCAGACTCCGATGTGAAGGTTGAGGACCTGGCGGCCTCTTCAGTGATAACTAGGGGCAGAGCTCCCTGGGCACCTCTGTCCCCGCCAAGCCAGCCTTCCCTCCGTGTTGATGGCTCGCATCCTGTCTGCGGGGGGTCCTGATGAGGCACTGTCCGGCGCGGGGCTGGGGCCTGGTGGGCTTTTCCCTGAGGAGCCGTTGGCTGCCCGACTCAGGGCCTCTCACGCTCTCTTGCCCTCTCTCTTTCCAGCACTTTCCACATCCGGATCTGAGGACATGGCCGAGGCTGCAGGGGCCTGGAGTCCACCCTCCTGCCCTGCGGTCACGTGGGCATGGCCTCCAAGCTCCCCGGGCACGCGGTGGCAGCCTCTGGGGTTGATACCACGAATATTTCCTGTGGCCCTTTCAGCAAAAAAACTAACCAGGAAGGGGGCGTGTGAGGGTTAGGACCCTTCCCACAGCCCCGCTGGGGCCCCGCCCCAGGCCCTCCGCACCCCCAGTCCTCTTCCCGTCCAGAAGTGCCCCCCAGCTCCCAGCGGCAGAGGCAGATCAACCGACCGGCCGTGGTGGGGTCTGCTGCGTCCCAGTGCTGGCGGACACCCTGGTCACCCAGGACAGAGGGCCAAAAAAAGAAGAAGAGGTCAGGGTTTTAACGAGCTATGCAATTTTTTTCCAAAACCCAAGGCTGGGCTGCCCCCCACCGCTGCCTGGGCCCGAGGGCTCTTGCCCCTGGCGCTGCCTCTGGGTCATGAGGACCACCCTGCCTGCCCTCCCCAGCACCATGGGATCCTCACTGGTGTGTGCTGTCCACAGATTTGTGAACTCCTGGTAATAAAACACCTTTGCATCCCTGTGTTCTCCACGTCTGCTGATGTTAAGAAGTGCTGGAGGGCACCTTCCGATCCCCAAAATGCCACCATGGCTGCCTCAGTTCTCGGCGTGAGGCGGTGCCTCCTGCTTTAGGCACTAGCTTTGATTTCAGCGTGTGTGCCTTCAGGAGGAAAACGCATCCGGGCCCCGAGCCTTCCGTGAATTCCCTGAGAGTGTTCTGGTCAACATCCGGGAGTGCCAACCACACTTCGGGCACGGGGCAGTTGATTCCGTCTCAATCTTTACAACCCCCAAGGAGGGCGGGACTCTGACAGGCCTGTGTTTCAGAAGCTGCACAGCCGAGTGGTCACTAAGGGTGGACTTCCCACAGATGCGACCTGAGCCAGCTCTGCCCGGGGTCAGGGCAGGGAAGAGGGGCACCTATGGTGTTCTCGCTGGAGACGATCACTTCTGTTTTCTGCAGCCTGGGCTGGGTAGTGGGGAGCCGGGCAGCAAGCCAGCTGTCCACCCTTACAGAGAAGGAGACATGTGGATAGGAAAGGAAGTGGCACACAAAACAGGAGGTTTCCTGAGGGACAGAGATCCAGGAAGAGCCAGCCTGACCTGAGGGCACAGCTGGAGCGAGCGGCCTGAGTGCCCTCTGCCCATGCTGGTGCCTCCGGTGCCTGGGCAAGGCCCTGAGGGCTCTTTGGAGGGCCAGGCCACCAGGTTGGGGCTGGGTCTTATGGGTGGGGCTCAGGAGCCACCTGTCGAGGTCAGGACTAACTGGAGCCACAGGGCAGGTGAGGGTGACCCGGTTATACAGAGATGGCCGCCACGTGCCCACTGGCTGGCACCAGATACAGCCCAGCAGTGCATCCCAGGCAGCCGGCTGGGCTTGCCCTGCCGGACCACAGGCTTCTGCTCAGGCCCTGGCTGGCTGTGCAGCCCCAGGCAGGTCGCTGCTCCTCTGCGGGCCTTGTTTCCTCATCTACAGCACAAAGGGGTTGGACTGGATGCCCTTAGGATCTGCCCAGCTTGCACAGCCAGGGTGGGATGGGGGCAGAAGACAGAAAGGAGCCACGGGGCAGGTCCCCAGGAGCCCAGCCGCTTCCAGAGTCAGAGCCATGGCCTCCGAGGCCGGGCCTTCCCTGCTGGTTCCTGGCTTCTTGCGCCAGTCACCTCGAGGCAGAGGCAGAGGATGTGGCTTCCGGCCCTCCCCTCCTTTTCGCTGATGGGGCTGCAAGGAGGGGAACCGGTTTTGTTCCCAATAGCAATTGCAGGATGTCACTTGGCCAGTTAGAAAGGTGTCCGTTCCAGTACACGGCCTGCCACACGTTTGGTAAGTGCTCAGTAGTGGAAGGCAGGTTGAGCCGGTCCGCCTGGGCCTCAGCATGCTCCTCTGGGAAATGGGGGTGCTGACCCCCACCTTTGGCCAGGCTCACTTCTCTCCAGCCGTGATTCCCACCTCTGCGTGGTTGGGAGGCAGAAGGAAAGGGCATAGGCAGGAGCTGCCGGCAGCCGGAGGGTCTCGGGCAGGCAGCTCAGCTGTCATTGAGCCTAGTTCTGCAGCAGGCTGGGTGAGTCTGAAGTTTCAGAGCCTTCAAGTGAGCTGAGGGCTTAGCGATAACCCCTGGCATGGCCTGGGTACCAGGAAACCCACTGGTGGGCTGCCAGATGCCAGGCCCTCAGAATTTGTGCCTCCTGTCGGTGAAGAAGAGCCTCCGAAGCATGTCGGGCTGCAAGGAAGGAGAAGATACTGGGGCCTGGGGTTGCTGGACAGGGAGGGCAGACCCAGGCTCCGAGGACCCCTCATTGACCGCGTTGGGACCTGAAGCCCAAGAAATGAGGCCAGGTTGGAATTCTGATGGTTGATGTCACAAGCCTCCCAGTGCCTGAAATCCTACCTTTAGCTCTCCAATTTTTCTGGAGGCAGGCTTCACCCTCTTCTGGCTGAGAGGAGGGGACAGGGGAGTGTGGAAAGGGTGGTGAGCCTCCCTGGTCCCCCTCGACATATCGCTGGCAGCCTCAGGATGCACTGGTGTTCAACGTAGGGTGGGGTGAGGCTGCACCCAGGGGCTCAGGGACTGGGGGCGGGGGACATGGGGCAGCTGCAGGGCGAAAGCAGACATGGGATGTGGCCTCCGGGGTTTTCAGACCTGTCCACTGCCGGGTCTGTGCTCCCGGGAGAGTCAGGATCTTGAAGGCTGCTGTCCACGGGGTGGGTGGGTAGAGCCCTGCCCTGAGGGAGGAGCTGTCAGCCCTTCCCAGGAAGATCTTTCCACTAGGAGTCTGGGCAGGAAGATCTGCATGGGCCTGAGATCAGAGGCCTTGCCCATGGGGAGGGGACTCCCAGGTTTCATGTCTCCAGGCAAAGGCAGAGTATGGTTGGGATCGAGGGCTCCAGAGAGTTCGTCTGCCTCCCTGGAAACCCTGGACAAGCCCCACTCCCGGCCACGACCCTCCACATTCCTGGTCCCATCTCCTCCTTCCTTATCAGACCCCTGCAGAAACTGAGAGGGAGGGGAAAGGACTCCTGGTCTGCTGCAGAGAAAGCCCTTAGAAGGGCCTAGAAAGCCCCATCTTACACCCAAATCTAGCAGCTGCCTCTCCCACCACCACCACCACAGAGAGCCTCAGAATAATAGCTCTGTTCATCAAGAGCCTTCTCTGGGCTGTGTCCTGAGCAGGAGAGGATGTCTAGCATTATCCTCCAGGCATCTGCCTCTGGATACAAGCAGAGGATCAGCCCATTTTACAGATGAGGAAATGGAGATCCTGTGTAGGGTTGCTAAGTGATAATACAGACGCCCAGCTAAATTTAAATTTCAGATAAACAAAGGAATAATTGTGGTATTTGAGACGTACTTTAAAATGTTTTGTAATGTTTTGTTTTGTTCTGTTTTGTTTTTTGAAACAGGGTCTCACTTTGTCTCCCAGGCTGGAGTGCAGTGGCACAACCCTGACTGATTGCAGCCTTGACCTCCCAGGTTCAAGCGATCCTCCTGCCTCTACCCCACAAGTAGCTGGGACTACAGGCCACCACGCCTGGCAATGTTTTGTATTTTTTCACAGAGACGCGGTTTCGCCATGTTGCCCAGGCTGGTCTCAAACTCCTGAGCTCAAGCGATCCACCTGCCTCCACCTCCCAAAAGGCTACGATTACAGACAGAAGCCACCAAGCCCGGCCTAAAAACTATTCGTCGTTTTTCCATAATTCCGGCGCAACTGGTTGTCCTGGAATTTCTCTTGCCCAAAGCTACAAGGTGAGGGAGTAGGGGATAAGGGGCCATTCTCCTACTCCCAGAGGCTCTGAGACCCCTGCAGAGGCTGAGAGGGAGGGGCAGGAACCCTGATCTGCTGTAGAGAATGCCCTTAGAAGGGCCTGGAAGCCCCTGTCTTACATCCAAATCTAGCAGCTGCCTCTCCCACCACCATCACCACTTCCAGGCGGATGATAGGGCTGGAAAATTCCGGCAGCCCCGGTGACCTGCCCTGCCCATGCCTGGGGGCTGCAGGTCCGTGCTCTCTAAGGGCCGGGAGCTGCCCCACCCCATCATGGAGCTCACCTTCTGTGTCCGTCCGGTCTCCTTGCTCTTGGGTGCTGGGATCTGCTCATAGGTGTTTCCAGGTTCTGGAAGCCCTGGGGTCCCTGAGATCCTCTTGTGGCCAGAGTCCACGGGCACTGACAGTTTGCTATATGTGGGACTGGCCCCAGGATGTGGGGCCCTGGCCGGGCCACCCCGGCAAGCTGGGATCTGCTCATAGGTGCTGCCTTCTTGGCCTGGCGCCTCCCTGGCCTCCTGCAGGAGGCCTTCTGTCCCGATGAACTGATAGAAATCTTCAGAGCTGCCCTGGGAGCAGAGCTGAGCCTCTGGGCTCAGCTTTGGAAACTCCTGCCTCCAGGTGGCCCCCAGGGACCCCATGGCATCCGAACTGGAGGACAGGAGGAACCCCCAGGAAGTGGGAGACTCTGTGGGCCCCTGGCCTAGGTTCGCCCCAGAGAGGACGGGCACCAGGCCATTAGGCCTGTTCTGTTCGACATCTGAGAGTCTCATCTGGGCCTCAGTGCCTGGAGAACAGGACTGGCTGCCAGCTGGAACCGGGCCATGCCTGCTGGACCCCTCTGTGCCCAAGCCTAGCCGTGCCTGGTTTATCTTCCTCAGGTCTGCATAGACGATGTCACTGGGGCCTCCGAAAGACTCTTCCAGGAGGGAGGGACTCCTCTCAGGGAGTGGGGGCAATCTGATGGGAGCCTGGAGAGACAGGGACAGAGAAAGTCTTAAGGGGCAGCCCATCACCACGATGCCCTCCAGTAAAACCTCTCTCAGATAAGCCAAGGCCCCCTGTCTTGGCCCTAGTCTACCCCCCTGTACATGCAAGGGTTGGATCCATCACACCCAGGGTCCCTTCCAGCTCTCACACTCTAGGACTTGTTCTTTTTGTGGTTGTTTTCTGAGACGGAGTCTCGCTCTGTCACCCAGGCCGGAGTGCAGCGGTGCAATCTTGGCTCACGGCAACCTCCACCTCCTGGGTTCAAGTGATTCTCTGCCTCAGCCTCCCAAGTAGCTGGGATTACAGGCTCCGCCGTCATGCCCGGCTAATTTTTGTATTTTCGTTAGAGCTGGGGTTTCACCATGTTGGCCAGGCTGGTCTCAAACTCCTGACCTCAGATGATCTGCCTGTCTTGGCCTCCCAAAGTGCTGGGAATACAGGCCTGAGCCACCGCACCCGGCCTAGGACTCTCTCTCTATTTTTTTTTTTTATTTTGAGACGGAGTTTCGCTCTTGTTACCCAGGCTGGAGTGCAATGGCGCGATCTCGGCTCACCGCAACCTCCGCCTCCTGGGTTCAGGCAATTCTCCTGCCTCAGCCTCCTGAGTAGCTGGGATTACAGGCACGCGCCACCATGCCCAGCTAATGTTTTGCATGTTTAGTAGAGACGGGGTTTCACCATGTTGACCAGGATGGTCTCGATCTCTTGACCTCGTGATCCACCCGCCTCGGCCTCCCAAAGTGCTGGGATTACAGGCTTGAGCCACCGTGCCCGGCCAGGACTCTCTCTTTACCTTGGCATTCAAGGCCTTGGGTCACCAGCTCTACCTCCCCACACAACTTCTCCCTCCCCTGCTCCTCCCACCTCCATTGTAGTCCACTGGTCCCTCAGAGCCCCCACACCCACTCACTGCTTCACCTCCTTCCACAATGCTCCATCTCGAAGTCCATCACTCATTTAACAAATATTTAGTGAGCACCAACGATGTGCCAGGCGCTGTCCTCGGTGCCAAAGACTTTGGTGAGCAAGACTAACTCTTGGGAGCTTATATTCTAATCTGGGAAACGGGCAGCCTACTGCTGTACTGTATAGCACAATATGGTTTGATGTGCTGCGTGATGGGCAAATATATCACAAGGCAATGGAGTCTGAGGGCGTGGTCAGTGCTACAAAGAATGAAGCAGGGTCATGGGCTAGAGAGAATGGCAGGTGGGAAAGGTGATATTTTCTGTCATGTAGGAGGGCCTCTCTGAGGAGGTGACATTTAAGAAGAGAATGGAATGCAGTTAGAGTGTGAGCCATGCAGATATCCTGTAAAAAGAGCATTTCAAGCAGACGGCACAGCAGTGCAGAGGCCCTGAGGTGGGAGCAAGTCAGTATGTTCAAGGACGATCTAGGTGGCCAAAGCAGCCAAAGAAAGGCCTCACCGAAGCCCCCAGTGAGGAAGCAGGGGCAGCGGGGCACCTGGTGAGGCTTTTGTGTGGCCTGGCGAAACATTTAGCTTTTATTCTAAATATGAGGAAAAGCCATTAGCATGCTGTGATCTGATACAAGGAACAATCTTTTGGCCAGGCGCGGTGGCTCATGCCTGTAATCCCAGCATTTGGGAGGCCAAAGCAGGCAGATCACCAGAGATCAGGAGTTTGAGACCAGCCTGGCCAACATAGCAAAACCCCGTCTCTACTAAAAATACCAAAAAAATGAATGAATGAATGAATGGATAAACAAAAAAACCAACAAACAAAAAGTTGGGCATGGTGGTGTGCACCTATAATCCCATCTACTAGGGAGGCTGAGGCAGAAGAATCGCTTGAACCCGGGAGGCGACGGAGATTGCAGTGAGCTGAGACGGTGCCACTGCACTTCAGCCTGGGCAACAGAGCGAGACTCTGTCTCAAAAAATAAAAATAAAAAAGTCCAGGCACGGTGGCTAATGCCTGTAATTCTAGCGCTTTGTCCAAGGCAGTGGATCACTTGAGGTCAGAAATTCCGGACCAGCCTGGCCAGTATTTGAAACCCCCTCTCTACTAAAAATACAAAAATTAGCCAGGTGTGGTGGCAGGCGCCTGTAATCCCAGCTGTTCGGGAGGCTAAGGCAGGAGGATCGCTCAAACCTGGGAGGCGGCAGAGATGGCAGTGAGCCAAGATAGCGCCACTGCACTCCAGCCTGGGCGTCGCAGCGAGACTCGGTCTCAAAAAAAAAGAAAGCTTTTTCTGAGTCTCTCTCATGGAGTGCCATGGACGAGAATAAAGTACTGACTCACAGGCACCCCATGCTACAGCTTCCTAAGGGGTGTTCAGGCATTTCATATCCGTTTTCTCATTCAAGCTTCACAAGAACCACAGGTGTGGTAAACTGAGGCTCCGAGAAATTATGTGACTTGCCTAAAGCTAGAAAATGCCCAAGCTCAGGCTTGATCCGAATCTAGCCAGCCAGAGGCAGGCCATGGCATGGGTGAACTGGGTGATTCCAAGCTGGGTCTGCACCTCTCTGGGCCTGGCTCACCCCCCACAGCCGAGGGAGCGGTTGGCCCGGCCTCAGGGTCTGACTGGGAGCTTGGCCCTCGAATCCCTGGTCTGGTCACCCTGACCCTAAGTGACCCGGAATACCTCCATGCTTTCCTCCTGGGACAGGTTCCAGGGACTCACATCCGGGCTCTTCGGTGCATGGAGGAAGGAGACCTGCGGCTTGGGAGAAGAGCGGGGGCTGGCAGCCTTGTCTGGGACCACTGTGGGGGGTGCCGTGGCAGGCGGGATTTCCGGGTCCACGATGGTCTGGTGGAGGCCCCGGGTGATGGCATCATACAGATCGTTGTCCTCTGGCTGGGGGGATGGAGATACAGCAGGCAGGTGGTCACACACGCCCAGCGAGTCCCCAGCTGCCTGCCTGAGACTGCTGGTAAGGGACTGAAACATTCCCACCAGGTCCCTAACCTCAGGTAAGACATCATCACAGTCTCCCTTTGTCCGGTAGGGATCGTGACCCCACACGGAGTGCCTCTGGATGATAGTAAATAGGGAGGGCTTGAAAAGGGGTAGCCTGAGTGATGGACACCCCAGGCCTGAGCTCCCTGCCCCGCCACCCTCACCCTGGGGAAGTGGGGCACCTACCCGGGGACAGGCAGCAGTCAGCGTCTCTCCAAAGGGCTCAAGCTGTGCCTCCTGGTAATGGCGCACAAGCTCGGTCAGGGTGCTATAGCTCTGGGTGTCTCCTGAGATGATGTAACGCCGGTTTCGAAGCTGGCTGATGACAAAATGCCTGCAGCGATCGTTGCCCCTGCAACACAACTGCCTGTGGTCTGGGGCTGCCAATCGCAGGCAGCCCAGCCTTGGCCCAGGGTCTGAGCTCTGTGCCTGGGTGCGGGAGAGGGGTCCCAGCTCTTGATCCAGAACAGACCCCCCTGACCGGGGGCCACCGTGCCCCACTCGGAGCCATGGTGTGTGTTCGTCAGGAAACTAGGGAGAGGTTTTCAAACCACAGGGCCCTGGGACCCTGGGAAGTACTGAAGCGTGTTCTGGTGGAGTCAGGGAGGGCAGGGCCGTGACTAGGGTGAGGCAAGTGAAGCACTCATCTTGGGTGCGACATTTAAAGGGGTGCCAAAAAACTCAATCAAGAAAACGAAATATTTTAGAAAATCAGCCGGGCGCGGTGGCTCAAGCCTGTAATCCCAGCACTTTGGGAGGCCGAGGCGGGTGGATCATGAGGTCGAGATCGAGACCATCCTGGCCAACATGGTGAAACCCCGTTTCTACTAAAAATACAAAAAATTAGCTGGACATGGTGGCGCGTGCCTGTAATCCCAGCTACTCAGGAGGCTGAGGCAGGAGAATTGCCTGAAGCCAGGAGGCGGAGGTTGTGGTGAGCCGAGATCGCGCCATTGCACTCCAGCCTGCGTAACAAGAGCGAAACTCCGTCTCAAAAAAAAAAAAGAAAGAAAGAAAAGAAAATCAAAATGCGGGAAAAAAAAAATCCACAATGAACAAAGCACCAAAGTTTTAAACAAAGACAAGATCTAACTCTGCACCTGTACAACAACCTCACTCCCCACCCAGCTGCAACGATGCAGTTCCCCCTGCCTCTGCAGCCTGTAAAGTCCCACCCTAAAATCCCACCCTCTTCACCTTCCTTTTTCCTAGAAGACTAACTTCTAAATGATGATGTGCATACGTCACAAATGTGCGGCTTGATGAATTTCCATGTAGGAACCCTCCCATGTAACTGCCACTCTGATCAAGATACAAAACCTTTCCAGCCCTCCAGACCTTCTTGTGCTCACATCCTGTCAATGTCCCCAGAAGGTAGCCACTATTTTGACGCCTATCAGCATAGGTTAGTCTTGCCCGTCAGAGAACTTCTGTGATATTTCTCTGTGTCTAGCACTCAGCGTTATATATTGGAGATTGATTCATGTCCATGTAGGATTAGTTTCTTTTTTTTTTTCTTGTTTATATGTCGTATTCCAGTTAATGAAAAATCCACCATGTACCTATTCTGTTGATAGACAGTGAGGTTGTTTCCAGATTTGGGCTGTTATAAACGAAGCTGCTGTGAGCATTCTTGTACGTATCTTTTGGTGAATATGTACTCATTTCTGATAAGAATATACCAAGGAGTAGAGTTGATGGGTCAAGGGTACACCTGATTGACTTTAGTAAATCATGCCAAATTGCTTTCTAAAATTATTGCAATGGGCCAGGTGCAGTGGCTCATGCCTGTGTAATCCCTGCACTTTGAGAGGCTGAGGTGGGCAGATCACTTGAGGTCAGGAGTTCAAGATCAGCCTGACCAACACGGTGAAACTCCCGTCTCTATTAAAAATTTAAAAAAATTAAAAAATAAATAGCCAGGTGTGGTGGTGGTTGCCTGTAATCCCACGGGAGGCTGGAGTAAGAGAATCGCTTGAACCCAGGAAACAGAGGTTGCAGTGAGCTGAAATCATGCCATTGCACTCCAGCTGGGTAGCAGGAGTGAAATTCTGTCTCATAAGTAAAATAAAATAAAATAAAGTAATTGCAATGTGTGAGAGTTCTAGCTGTTCCACATATTCTGTCTTTCCACTATTGCCATCCATTGGGAATATGCAAATGCTTTATTCAATGCAAATGCTTTAATTTGCATTTCCCTGATAGCTAAGGACTCTGAACATCGTTTCATATACTTATGGACCTTCTAGGTTTGCATTTTTCTTTTTGGTAAAGGGCTTGCTCAGGTCTTCAGCTTTTATTTATTGAATTGCTGTTTTTGTCGTACTTATTTGTAGGAGTTCTTTGCATATTCTGGATTTGAGTCCTTTGTTAGACACGCGTATTCTAATAGATAACGTCTCCACCCTGACCTTTTTCTTCTCTTAATAATGTTTTTTAATTATAAAAATTTTTTTTTCTTTCTTTCTTTTTTTTTTTTTGAGACAGAGTTTCGCTCCTGTTACCCAGGTTGGAGTGCAATGGCGTGATCTCGGCTCACCGCAACCTCCGCCTCCTGGGTTCAACCAATTCTCCTGCCTCAGCCTCCCAAGTAGCTGGGACTACAGGCACGCGCCACCATGCCCAGCTAATTTTTGTATTTTTAGTAGAGATGGGGTTTCACCATGTTGACCAGCATGGTCTCGATCTCTTGACCTTGTGATCCACCCGCCTTGGCCTCCCAAAGTGCTGGGATTACAGGCATGAGCCACCGCGCCCAGCCAATTATAAAATTTCTTAATTTTGGCCGGGCGCAGTGGCTCACGCCTGTAATCCCAGCACTTTGGGAGGCTGAGGCGGGTAGATCACCCGAGGTCAGGAGATCGAGACCAGCTTGACCAATATGGTGAAACCCCATCTCTATTAAAAGTACAAAAATTAGCCAGGCGTGTTGACATGCGCCTGTAGTCCCAACAGTGAGCCAAGATCCCACCACTGCACTCCAGCCTGGGTGAGAGAGCAAGACTCCATCTCAAAAAAAAAAAAAAAAAAAGAAAGAAAAGAAAAATAAATAAATATTCTTAGTTTTAGGAAATCGAATTAATCACTCTTTTCAGATGAGTGCCTTTTTGTGTCCTGTTTAAAATATCTTGGCCTCTCATTTTCAAAGACATTTACATTGACCTATAACAATGCTTTCCTGTTTCCTTCTAGAAATAGTATTGTTTTGCTTTTCTCTCTTGGATCTGTGATCCATCCAGAATTAATCAACTTTCATGTATGGTATGAGGTAGCAGTCATTGTTTTCCATTTAGATATCCAATTGCCCCTGCACTAATTATTGAAAAAACAAGGCTTTCCCCCATGGAATTGCAGTGACGCCTCCGTTGTAAATCTGGTAACCAAACATTTGGAACTATTTTGGGACTCTATTCTGTTTCATTTTTTTTATTTGTATGCCTTTGAGCGGAGTTACTATTCTGCCTAAGATCTCATCTGGGAAGAAACAAAACCAAAGGAAAAAAATCCCTAAAGCTCAAAAGACTTTTGAAAACGACCGAGTTAGTGTATTTCAAAACGCACAGCACAGTGTCAGAGCAAAAATATTTTAACAATGAACGGCTAACATTTATTTAAAGTCTTTACTATGTTTTACACATTGTGCCAAGCACTTTTAAATGTATCAACTGATTGCACACTTTCATCCGTCCCATGAAGCAGGTACTATCATATTCCCATTTTACAGATGAGAAAACTGGGGAACAGAGAGGCAAAGTAACTTGCTCAAGGTCAGGGTTTGAACTGGGGCCATCTGAATATGTGACAGTTTTGAATCCTAATCTGAGGCCTTTTAAGCTGACCCTGGAGTCCCGGCCCCCTCCCTACTTGGGGAAGCCTTCTTCTCTCCTCTGTCGCTCTCCTCCCGACCGGCCCTCTCTCGGGGCGAGACCCGACATCGCCGTCTCTGCCTTGGTCCTGGCTGCCTGTCTCCTTTTCCCTATCCCCATCGTCCTTCCCTAGCCCAGACCTCATTATCTCACATCCGGGCAGTCGCAAGGGTCCCCGGCGTCCCCCACACCTCCAGCTCCGACTTCCAGTCCTCTCTCCACAGGCTGCGTCAAGGACAGTGTCCGTCACGGTCTACACACAGCTGGGCATCTACAGCCGTTCTACGCTTCTCCCGCCCTTCCCTCTGGGCACTCCTCCAAAGGAACCAAGCGTTCCGCTGCACCCAGCAACCTGCAACCCCCCCGGCGCCCTTGGCTTTCACCCGCTGTACTTCTGCACATGCCTTTCCGTCTACCAGAGACCCCCTCCTAAACCCCAACCACGCCCTCCTTTCTGCCTTGCAACCTGTATTCTTCCTTCTATCCTGGGCTCAAAGTTCACCTCTTTGAAGCCTCCCCTGACCCCCACTCACCTCATTTGAAGGCCATGGCCTCATCCCTAGTCTATGGCTGGTGCTGCTCAGGAAATGTCTGCTGAGCATGTGATGGAGGAATGAGAGAGTCGGGAGTCAGGACCCAGGGAAAGCCAGGCAATCCAGGCAGGTGGGGCCTCTGCACTCATCTGCAAGGCTAGGTTACGGTAGGCTGAGCTCACTTGCCCGGAGGGCGTCCCCTCTTACCTGTAGGACAAGATGTAGCCGGTGGCTCGGTCACTGAGGCGGATGAGGAAGGACCCAACCGCTTTGTCCCTGAGTAGTTGCTCCGTCTGCCTGGGCAGAGGACATGCCATCAGCTGGGGTCTGTGTCCTAACAGCAGCCTGACTTAGGCCTCTCTTGGAATCCCTGCTGGCCATGCCTTTTGGTCCCAGACCTCCAACTCTTTATAGAGGAGCCACTCAGACCTTTGGAGGGGTCCGTAGCCCGTCAGGGCTCAGTATCTGGTCTATCTGGGCCCAATTCATTAAGTTCTAGACTGTCCTGGGCTGGGTCAGAGTCTGAAGCTATATGCAGCCTTACTAGCAGGCACCCTGGTTGCTGACCCTGGCCGCTCACTCCCCACCTGGATGGCTGTGTAGCAGGAATAAACCCACACAGCTGGAGACATCGAGGTTTAGTGGGGAGTCCCTCCCTCAGAACCACTGCGTACAGTTGGCAGATGAGCTGCTGCAGGGAGGTGCCGCGACGTCTGCAGCGGCCGAAATGGACTCATTCCCCTTCCTGCCCCCTTCAATCCCAGGCAGCTACAGAGATCTTACACACGGTGCCAAATATTTTGGAGGCATGGTGAAAAATTCCAGCCGTCTTCTGGTTTGGCAGTACATACACCACATACGTATTCCCTCACCCAATTACTCACCAAATACTGAGTGCCTGCTCTATGCAGCTACACAGTTTGCAGGGCCGGGTGCTAAATGAAAACATGGGGCCCCTGGTTCAAAATGATTTAGAATTTCAAGACAGCGACAGAAGAGCATCAAACCAAATGTGGAGCCCTGGTGACCCCGTGCTGGTGTGCAAGTCAGTGCCCATAAAGCTGGCCCTGGGTGTGTGCAGGGGCCGTGCCAGGACCTACAGACTGGCTGGATTTGCCATTCCTTCATCAGACGTTTTGGCTGCTTGGAGATCCAGCCCAAACAGAAAGCCAAACCTCTATCTTGGCCTTTATACCTAGGGCAACCGTGCATCCAGCTTTGGCTGGGATGGCCCCGTTCACAGCGGTTCTCCTAGCTTAGTTACTGATAGTGTTCTAGTTTGGATGATAAATGATAGGGCCCCCTAGTTACTCATCAAGTCAGGGCCTGGCCCTCCTTCTGTCCTCTGGCAGCCTGGCAGCCCCAGCCATCCTCCACCCGTGCTGAAGTAGAGGCTGTTGCTCTGCCACACTCTGCCCACAGAAGCCAGCACCAGAGGACGTGGTTCCTCTCAGTCTGTCCCCCTGCCCACCACCTCCCACGGCCCCTGCCTAGCCCAGGGAAAGGGCAGGAACCAGTCTGATCCAGAGTTCCCAGACCATTTTCTCAGCTTGGGGGGACATGTGGGTGGAAGCAGCCTTACTTGCGGGTGATGAATCCGTGAAACCAAGGAGGCAGGGCACCGTTCTGCAGAATGAAGGGGGCCTGTGTCTCCATGAACCACTTCAGGGCAAGCTCCTGGAGCTCAGCCAGGGCCTGGCTGCCCCCTGCCCCGTTGGGATGTCTCCCCAGGCTGAGCTGCTTTAGACTGTCCTCCATGCTGCCGAGCCCCGGAGTGGAAGCCGAGCTCAGCCAGGACACATGCCTCTATATCTGCATGTGCTCTGGCTCATTTGCCTGAGCGCATGCCCTACCCAAGGGCCCGTACCACACAGCGGCTCTATTGTCACCTCTAGGCTGGTGGCTGGTTCTCCCCTTTGATGCTTTGGGGTGGGGCACCTTGCCTGGCTGCAGACATGGGGGAACAGTCACCATAGCAGCCTGAGAGGGGTACAGCAGGCCCTCTGTGGCTTGCTGGCCAGCAGATGAGCTACCTCACTGGGTTTGGCCTTGTTCCCCCCAGCCTCTGGTCTCTGCCGCAACTAAAGATCGGACCCTGGCAAAAGTCCACAGCACCGCCCCTGTGAGCAAAGCAGTGGATTTAGGGATCCTTCCTCAGCGGAGGCTATTTTATTTCGGTGAAGAAGTTCTGTGCTAAGTCCTCCTTCCACTCGTATTGAGTCCCTACTGTGTGCCATGTAAATCTGGGCCCTGGGAATAAGGCAGCGAATGAAAGAGCACTTTGCCCTCATGGCACACACATTCTAGTGGTGGGAGACAACCCCGTAGAGAATATAGAGCCAAATGGAATAAGCATTTGGCTTAGAGACAAAGGCAGAAGAACAGGAGAGCACATGGCCACATTATGCAGACAGAGAGTCAGGGGTCGGGGTCAGCCTTGCCAGGAGGTGACATTGAAACAGCGAAGGAGGAAGCCCAGCAGGTGCCTGGAGGGGTGGACTGTGTCATCAGCAGGGGGACCGTACATGGAAAGACAAGGAGGTGGGACTTTGCTGCAGATTTTGAAGAACAACCGGAAGCTCATGTCGTTGCAACAGAGAGGGGACTTCAGCGTAGCTGGGTCCCCTGGAAGGGCAGGGATAGGCCTCTGAGAGGACGCTTTGGAGCAGTTAGGGCAATGGGACCGTGTGTTCACACAAACATCCCTGATTTCTAATGTGTTTGTGAGTTTCCCAGCAGAAGTCGCGGCTCGGTGGATGGTGAGGCAGCAGATGGTGCACTCAGCCTCAAGGATCTCGGTAAGACTCCCACTTCCACCATACACTGACGTGGGGGTCTCAAGAAAGTTACCCAAATGTTGTAGATGGCTCAATTTCCTCAGCTGTAAAATGTGCATAAGAAAAAGCTATTTTCTAGACTCTAGGGTCATTATGAGGGCTAAGTGAGATGGTATCGTGGTTAATAATGAAGGCGGATGTATTTAAGTTCAAAAATAGGATGCAGGTACTGTGACAATATGACTGAAGTGATTGGTTGTCATTTCCCCTGCTGAAAGCACCTGATACATAGCTATCTCTCACTCCATTCCACAGTAAGACAGAAATGCTCAGTTTCATTTTTCCTTGAGGCCAGACCCGTAATCCCAGCACTTTGGGAGGCTCAGGTGGGAGGATCACTTGAGGCCAGGAGTTCGTTCATGACCAGCCTGGGCAACATAGCAAGACCCTGTCTCTAAAAAGAAAAAGGCAGAACTAATCAATGGCAATAGAAGTTAAGACAGTGCTGTACTAAAAATACAAAAAAAAAAAAATTAGCTGGGTGTGGTGGCACACACCTGTATTCCCAGCTACCTGGGAGGCTGGGGCAGGAGAACTGCTTGGACCCAGGAGGCAGAGGTTGCAGTGAGCTGAGATCACGCCACTGCACTCCAGCCTGGCGCCTGACGACATAGCGAGACTGTCTTAAAAAAAAAAAAAAAAGGACAGTGGTTCCCTTGGGGACTGGGTGGGGAGTGAAAAGCTACTGGTGCTTACAGGGTTCTAATTCTGAATCTGGTTGGTGGGTTGAGCGAGTGTGGACTGGGTGAGTTGAGTGCGTGCTCACTGTGTGAAGGTTCACTGGCTCCGCACGCACATTTATGCATTTTTCTATGTCCTTGTTCTACTTCAGTAAAAACGTTTAAAGGCCGGGCGCAGTGGCTGACGCCTTTAATCCCAGTATTTTGGAAGGCTGAGGCAGGCAGGTGGATCACAAGGTCAAGAGATCGAGACCATCCTGGCCATGGTGGAACCCCATCTCTACTAAAAATACAAAAATTAGGCGGGCATGGTGGCGCGCGCCTGTGATCCCAGCTACTCGGGAGGCTGCTGAGGTGAAAGAATCGCTTGAACCCAGAAGGCGGAGGTTGCAGTGAGCCGAGATTGCACCACTGCGCTCCAGCCTGGAGACAGAGCAAGACTCTGTCTTAAAACAAATGAACAAACGAACAAAAACCTTTTAAGAAACAAGGATGTTATAGCCAGATTTTCTGGGTTCAAATTCCAGCTTGCTGGATACATGACCTTAACCAGATGTTCTAGCCTGTCCTGCTGTTAGGAAGGTTTGTTGAGTTAAATCCTTAGAACAGTGTGTGGAGTAACATAGTGACTAGGATTAGCTATTTTTTTTTTGAGATGGAGTTTCGCTCTTGTTACCCAGGCTGGAGTGCAATGGCGTGATCTCAGCTCACCGCAACCTCCGCCCCCTGGGTTCAGGCAATTCTCCTGCCTCAGCCTCCTGAGTAGCTGGGATTACAGGCACACGCCACCACGCCCAGCTAATTTTTTGTATTTTTAGTAGAGATGGGGTTTCACCATGTTGACCAGGATGGTCTCGATCTCTCGACCTCATGATCCACCCGCCTCGGCCTCCCAAAGTGCTGGGATTACAGGCTTGAGCCACCGCGCCCGGTCCGGAACATCACTTTTATAAACCATTAATTCCCAGCCTTGACACTGGAGTCAACTCCTGCGAGGGCACACGCTAAGGGACCATCATTTGCATACATGCTAATTGGTCTTCCCCGTCGCAAACATAAGCCACGGATATCATGGAGCCAGAACGGAAATCCCAGGCCTGGGCTGACCAGGACAGGAACTCTCTAAAATGGGAAAGGGGGCTGGGCATGATGGCTCACACCTATAATCCCAGCACTTTGGGAGGCGAAGGCAGGATTAATTGAGCTCAGGAGTTCGAGACCAGCCTGGGCAACATAGCCAGGCCCCATCTCTACTAAAAAACAAATAAACAAGCCGGGTGTGGTGGTGTACACCCGTGGTTACAGGTACTTAGGAGGCTGGAGTGGGACGATCGCTTGAGCCCAGAAGGTTGACGCTGCAGTGAGCAATGACTGTGCCATTGTACTCCAACGTGGGCAACAGAACAAGGCCATGCCTAAAAACCAGTTACGGAAGGACGGGAGGAGGAGGGCCACACCTTGATTTTCCCTAACCTTTCACTAAGTTCAGCGTTTCCTTTCACGGTGAACGTCGCTGGGAATGAACCTCATCAGTATTAGCAGCAGTAGTTACTTCGTTACCAACAGAAGGCATAGATATTTCATATGATTCCACAGTTGTTGTAGACATCTTGAGGTATCATTTTTGCTCATCAAAACCGCAAAACTGCAGTAATTAGACCCAACTCTGGATCTTGTTATTTAACGTGCCAAAAAGGCATATCGTATAATATCCCAAATATTCTCATAAAGTCTATTTTGATACGGTTTATTTCCGTTGCTCTCTGTCTTTATTTTGTGCACTTAAAAAAATCCATTCTTTGGGAGGCCGAGGCGGGTGGATCACGAGGTCGAGAGATCGAGACCATCCTGGTCAACATGGTGAAACCCCGTCTCTACTAAAAATACAAAAAATTAGCTGGGCGTGGTGGCACGTGCCTGTAATCCCAGCTACTCAGGAGGCTGAGGCAGGAGAATTGCCTGAACCCAGGAGGCGGAGGTTGCGGTGAGCCGAGATCGCGCCATTGCACTCCAGCCTGGGTAACAAGAGTGAAACTCCGTCTCAAAAAAAGAAAAAAACCATTCTGAGAAGTCCATAGGCTTCATCAGACACCAAAGAGGTCCGTGGCACAAAAAGGCTGAGGATGCTGGGGTGTAACCCAGAGTCGGTTTGCTGCCAAAGTGAGGTCCTGGAAGTATTCAAATGCAAAGAAATGTGTTTCTATAATTTTCCATGAGGCACTTTCTCCAACTCCCTTTCGGGCTGAGTAGTTTTATGGGCAGAACTGTTCATTTTCCTAAGAAGACAAAGGCTTTGTATACAAAAGGGGGCAGAGCCCAGGATGGCTACGGGCCAGAGGTTAGATTCCAAAGTCAGGCAAATAAGCCGGGGGTCTCTGTTTCTACTCAGTGGAAGTGTGGGGCTGGGGAAGGGCGAGGCCCAGGTGAGCTCCATGAAGAAGGGTCAGGGTAGGAAGGGGTTGTCCTGGACGTTGCTTTTCGTGGTCACCTACTGGGTGCTGCGCCCTGAGCACAGAAAGGACACTGGTGTAGTCCTGTCCCCCCTCTCCACCCTGGGGCCCAGAGGTGCAGGGAGAGGGAGGCGGAGGCTTCAGGCTCTAGACGCAGAATTATTGGCTTAGAATCCGAGCTCCCTTACTTGTTGGCTCTGTGACTTTACTGTGTCTGTGTCTTCATCTATAAAAATAGAAGGGAGAGAAAGGACCCAGCTGGTAGGTTGCGGCAGTTCTCAGAGCTGATCTACGCAGTGCAGTGGCCGGGAGGCTCAGGGCACACACAGTAAACATCAGCGGACGTCGTGATTCACCCACAGCTGCCAGTCATCCCCAGGACTGGGAAGTCCCCAGAATTCGAAGTCCCTGTCGCTAGCAAAACTTCCCTATCCTCAGTTCTCTCTCAAAAGGCTGCTTTTCCTACAGCGCAAATAGACGGTAACGGATTATCCCACAAATGGCTCTTTACTGAAGGTGTTCAGCCTGGCTTGCCCTTTCAGGAAGCAGGCTGAGGTTTTTCCAGAAAGCTGCTCAGAGGTAGCGTCTCTCCAGCCATTTCGACGAAGGCCCATTGAATGTGCCCTAACCCAGCACTGACCCTCTCACTTCTCTTTTTGAGTCTGCGCAACAGCCGTGTTCACTGCCAAGTGCTACCAGCAGAGCCTGGTGTTAGAACACCAAAGTGGACGTTTCAGTAAATGCTTGCCACGTGCCTGTGTCCGTCTATGCACACCACATGTTCATAGCCC